TTTTGCTCTCACGAAAGAGAGTTCGAATGAATTGAGCTAATTAGCTTAAGCTAATTAATCTAATTATTACAAACCAAAATGAATAACTAGGTAAACTAATTAACTAATTATTACAACAACAAATAAACTAATTAGCTAACTAACTAATTAAATAATTACAAAACAATTGCAACTAATAATTAAACTAAGTAACTAAACTAAGCCAATTAGCTACTCTGCCTCGAGAAACGAAGGATGTGCATGCGCATGCTCGGTTTCCACCCGAAAAGACCTCCGTTTTGCTCTCAAAAGCCTCTGTTTGCACAATTGAACACTTCCTGAACAATTTTGCTCCACCTTACCAATACTCTGCTAAGATTTACATCAGTGGCCAGCCGGCCACTGGTGAATATTGCCAGCCACCTGCCGGCCATGGATGGTGGTCTGCCGGCAAGGTTCTGAAAAGCGGTTGCGGTCACCGTAACAGTGGCGACGGCGCGGTTGCTGTTGCAAGGTATAAAGGCCGTAGCTTAACGGTTGCGATAATCGAAACCGTGAATTTTTTTATTTTCCGTACAATTTGAAAAAAAACCTAACAATATGTTTTTTTTTTTTTCATGATCATATTTATTGGGTTTTAAAATAAATATTGATCAATTTTTGTAAATTTTTAAGTAAGATCCAATATATTTCATTTTTTTAAATCACTATAAACTGAATTTTTTATATTTTATTTTAATAATTAATGACTTTATATTATACAAAAAATCAATCACTAACTATTATATATAAGATAAACAATGACAAAAGTAATAATAAATAAGAGCCTAAATATATATATATATTAATCAATCCAAATAGATAATGACTACACTTATTATTATTATTATTTTCAAACAAAATGTGAGTGATAGCATCTTAATAGAATAGCATAAGTCTTACAGTTTCAACAAATCAATAACATGTTCTTCATCTTCCCTATTTTCTCTCTATCTCTTGCTCCTCCATCTTCCCTCTTCTCTCTCTATCCCTCTTCCCCCATTTTTAGCCTTTTTTTGTGTGTTGTTTTCAAAAGAAGCAGTTCAAAACCATTACGTAACGGTGCGTAACAAGCCATTATGGTTGTTACGGCACCCTTACGACCGCTACGGCAGCCGCTACGGCTGACACACCTGTGAATCTCAATCAAACTGCAAAAGCGGCCGTAACGAGTGGTGGTAACCACCACAATCGTTACGTAACGGCGTTACGCAACGGTTGCGGCCGCTTTTTAAAACCTTGTCTGCAGGCTACCTGCCCATGGAAAGTGGACTATCGGCCACTGATGCACTGGTTCATCTTGCTGCAACAGAAGACAAACAGAACATATACATGGTATTTTCAAGGATTGTTTGCACAACTCACCCCTCATTTTCATGAACAAATCCAAAGAGTTGTGAACTTAAGCCACAAACCACCAACTCAAGCAATTTCATCGCATGATGGTTTGTAACTCAAGAGGTGCAAGCCCAATAAATGTAAAACAAGATACAAACCTCCTCCCTTTCATGAAAGATCAAGGAAAGAAGGTAACCTTGGAGACTTGAATCATTTCATCACTAGCAAGTATGAAATGGTCCAAGTTCTATGTGTTCAATTAACGTCCGATTGAACACATCAAAATACAACCAAATTCTTATATTTGCTCACTTTTAGTCCCGAGTTTTAGTTACTGATTTTAGCTTACCAACCATCCTTTAATCAAATTAAGTCCAAAGGTGAATTAAAGTCCTCTAATGGAAAGAGGGTTCAAAACACAAGTTGCTTTAGGTATAAAAGAAGTATCATACCGTTGGTAATGGACCCCCTAAGGGATTAAACCATTAAGTATGAAACCTCAATTTCACACTTAGGCAAGCAAGTGACTTAAAACCACTTTCAAAGCAAAATTAAAAGCCAAGCAATGAGGGAGGTTGCAGAGATGATTAGTGCTGAAATTAAGCGCAAAAAGCACCAAAAACATGCAATCAACTCAAACAAGTGGTGTCTAAAGGCCTAAAACACCGAGCTTGTGAGGACTATTACACTACAACTATGCAATATAAGACTCAAATGCAATAACCAATCCAAAATAGAGTTAAAACAGTTCAAAATAGAGCCTAAAACATGCTGGAATAAAGCTACAACAAGCTAGAAAAATAAGCTAACATATAGAGCAAACAAGACATAAGGAGGGGAGGCTAACCCCTCGAAATTTGGACTTCAAAACCTGATTTTTACCACTGAAAATACTCTGAAAATCAGTGTTTAAAGGCCAAAAAAAGATGGTTTGAAAATGGGAAACAAAGGTGAAATGGCCTTATAAACAAGGAATGAAGAGGAGTAAACCACCCCCTAACCTTAAATGGCCAAAAACACCAATTTCAGCCCACAAAAACAAAGTCTTTTTTAAGCTCAAAAACAGCCCAAAACAGTGGGAAAAAGATAGAAAGACAAGTATGCAAAGCAAGCTAATATAGCAAGTATTATACCTCTTGAAGAGAAGAGTAACTCTAAGCAACAATTCAAGCCAAAACCAACTTCAAGAGCTTCAAGAAGGTCTCAAGGAACCTCAGCTCAAAGGTGAGAGGATGTGGTTAATGAAGTATAGGCAAGAGTGTACTGTAAGTAGGAAAAAGTGTAGAGAATTTGTAGAGAGAGAGAGAAAATTATAGATAGAGGAAAATTTTTTAGTCTAAAATTTTCTAACCTCTAAACAAGAGAGAAGGGGTCCATATATATAGAAAACATGAAATTTCTACAAGGAGATCCAGCCCTCCACGTGCGGACAAATGCATGCATCTGTGCAAACAGCTGGCACAGCTGGCATAAAATATCTGCAGAAAACACTGGTGGCCGGCCGGCCATCACTGGTGGCTGGCAAGCCACATTAGTGGCCGGCAAACCAGAAGTGATGGCCGGCAACCTCTAGGGATGGCCGGCAGGCCACCAGAGGTTGCAGTCTGGAAAGACCAATACATGGTCCAAAAATGGGACAAAAATGATACAAAAATGATACAGAGTCGCCACCTACATATTTCATATGAACAGATGTCCAATAAATAAAAATATACATAGCCAAATTATCAAACTGTCCTGTACAAAATTGTTAGATGAACAATTGCTTTATCATCAAACCTAAGATAGTGGTATGAAATCAACCTCATACCAAGGATGATAACTAATGATATTCCTACATCTGTGGAACACGATCATGTCTATTGATATAAACCATGGACTGCAAAGACGAACCATAAAGGTACTTTGACATGAAATACCCACATGCTAACAGTATATATAGTACTTGAATCACTTAGTACATTTCACACAGAACATGTAAAATGATTTCTTATTATGTAATCTATTAAGCAAGCAACATTAACCAAATTACAGTACACAATCCCACTCCTACAATGTCAACTTATAGCATATATTTTTCATGTTACTATAGAAAGTAACAAATTTTGAACCACAAACATATAAGACTATTTACCACAAGTTTTAAGCTGATTATTGCATTTATGTATATTATTTATCATATCAGATTGTTTTGGACAGAGATCAGATTGTTTTCTGATTTTATGATACTCCACTTGGAAATTAAGATACTTGTTTGCAGATTTTATGGACAGGATTGTAGTGGTTTCCACTTAAATGTTTTACTCATGTAATGATCTACATATTTGCTCTTATGTAGATTGGTTCAGCTTTGAAGAAGCTGTTTGAAGATGGTGTGGTGCAGCGCAAAGACTTGTGGATCACCTCCAAACTCTGGTTTCATCTGAATCTTCTTTAACCCAAACATGTCTCTCAACCTTAATGTCTAAGAGAGAAGTAAAAGCAATGAAAAATCATTTGGAATTCCAATTGTATGTTAATGCAAAATTTGAACACGCACCTAGCAACTCCATATGATCTTTTAACCAGTTCATGCTATTCAATTTGAACTGCAATGATTTGCAGGTGTACTGATCATGCACCAGAATATGTACAGGACGCATTGGAACAAATTCTCAGGAACAAAGTCTTTGGTGTCAAACTAGGATGAAGTAATAGAGTGAGATGTACTGAAACAAATTCTCAGGAACAACCAGTTCTTTCTAGAATTATTTTGGTTATTCATATCTCAAGTGAATTTTGTTATTTCTTTGTAACTAAATGGGGTTGCTTGATTAATTATTGAAGATCCACTGGCCTGTCAACTTGAAGAAGGGATCAACAACCACAACTTCACGCATTCTGTAAATCCAAAGGACTTCACCTATCAGTGAGTATGCATATCTAAAGTATCTTAAGTTTATTGTTAGTGTTCAATACACTTATGTCAAAAAAAAAAATAAAAATTTCTCTCTAAATTTTGGATGGATTTCATTTAATGTGGTCCAAATTTGTCGCCTGTTTAATTTTTAAAAGACTTCTGCTGATGAGTTTTTCTTATGCAGGGGTATTCACCATTGGGTTCTCCAGGTTACCAAAAGAGTGACATTCTCAAGAATCCAATTCTCAATATGGTTGCAGAGAAATTGAGCAAGTCTCCTGCACAAGTTGCGCTTCGTTGGGCTTTGGAAATGGGTCACAGTGTTCTTCCTAAGAGCACAAATGAGACGAGGCTCAAAGAAAACTTTGATGTTTTTGACTGGTCTATACCTGAAGACTTGTTTGCCAAGTTCTCAGAAATTGAGCAGGCAAGTAGCCATTTTTTATCGCGCACAACATTGAAGAGCTCTGTATAGGGTCAAGTTTCAGTTTTAACAACTTGAAGCTTTCCTAAACCACAACATTCAATTACGGCAACACGGAATCAACAAGATCTTTCTACCATGCTAATTCCAATCAGTACACAATGAAAGACGCAAGTTTTGCACAGAGCATAACAAAGGAAAATTCTCAAACAATACTCAAGTATTCCAAATCAAAAATCCAAAAACCCTAAACTACCTATCACACAATACAATTTCGACTCGAAATCAAACCAATAAATAGTGAACATATGAGAACAATACCTTAGCAGAATTGGATCCGATCACGGAATCAGAGTACCTTCCATTATAATTATCCTGTTGGTGGCGAAATCAAACCCTGTTGAAGCAGAGTTGTTACAACCTGATGATCTGGAAGCCATGCTCAAAGTTTGAAAATGCAAGCTTTGATCGAAGCACAGAGAGTGAAAAGCTAGGGTTCGCAGAGACGACAATAGAGAAAAAATAAGAAGGGGTTCGTTTTGATCGATCTTAGCTAACATAACAAGAAGTTTGAATGAATGAAGTTTCATTTCATATACTAATAATTATACCAATGTGCTAAGAAGTTTTTTTTTTTTTTTTTTTTTTAATTTTTTTTTAAAAAAATGGATTGTGAATTGGAGAAGATTGTCTTGCCTCTGAGTTAAACGAGGGATTTGTTAGAAATTGTTAGCTTTTATTTTTTAGTTTAAAAAAAAAAAAAAAAAAAATGGATTCAGGTTGTTTGGTTTTATTTTTCAAAATTTACCTTTCAAAAAAATTATTTTTTTATTTTTTATTTTATTTTTTTTTGTTTTCACTGAATTTTTTTGATATTTTAAGCAATTTTTCATTTATAATTAAGTTATAAATAATATTCTAATAGATTATAATCAAGTCATAATCAATATCATAGTGGATTATAAACAAATACTACTAAATATCATAATTTGAAAATATTATAGAATTTTTCAAAATTTTGTACCTTGAACCAAAAGAGAAGTGTTGATTTCAAGAAAATATATGATTTGGTTCCAATTAGATTTTAGATTAGCTTCAAAGTATTGGGTTCAGGTTGATTATTTGTCAAATAAATAAAAATATACATAGCCAAATTATCAAACTGCCCTGTACAAATTTGTTAGATGAACAATTGTTTATCATCAAACCTAAGATAGTAGTATGAAATCAACCTCATACCAAGGATGATAACTAATGATATTCCTACATTTGTGGAACACGATCATGTCTATTGATATTAACCACGGACTGCAAAGACGAACCATAAAGGTACTTTGACATGAAATATCCACATGCTAACAATATATATAGTACTTGAATCACTTAGTACATTTCACACAGAACATGTAAAATGATTTCTTATTATGTAATCTAAGAAGCAAGCAACATTAACCAAATTACAGTACACAATCCCACTCCTACAATGTTAACTTATAGCATATATTTTTCATGTTACTATAGAAAGTAACAAATTTTGAACCACAAACATATAAGCCTATTTACCACAAGTTTTAAGCTGATTATCGCATTTCTGTGTATTATTTATCATATCAGATTGTTTTGGACAGAGATCAGATTGTTTTCTGATTTTATGATACTCAAATTGGAAATTAAGATACTTGTTTGCTGATTTTATGGACAGGATTTTAGTGGTTTCCACTTAAATGTTTTACTCGTGTAATGATCTACATATTTGCTCTTATGTAGATTGGTTCAGCTTTGAAGAAGCTGTTTGAAGATGGTGTGGTGCAGCGCAAAGACTTGTGGATCACCTCCAAACTCTGGTTTCATCTGAATCTTCTTTAACCCAAACATGTCTCTCAACCTTAATGTCTAAGAGAGAAGTAAAAGCAATGAAAAATCATTTGGAATTCCAATTGTATGTTAATGCAAAATTTGAACACGCACCTAGCAACTCCATATGATCTTTTAACCAGTTCATGCTATTCAATTTGAACTGCAATGATTTGCAGGTGTACTGATCATGCACCAGAATATGTACAGGAGGCATTGGAACAAATTCTCAGGAACAAATTGTTTGGTGTCAAAATAGGATGAAGTAATAGAGTGAGATGTACTGAAACAAATTCTCAGGAAAAACCACTTCTTTCTAAAATTATTTTGGTTATTCATATCTCAAGTGAATTTTGTTATTTCTTTGTAACCAACCTGTCAGCTTGAAAAAGGGATCAACAACCACAACTTCACGCATTCTGTAAATCCAAAGGACTTCACCTATCAGTGAGCATGCATCTCTAAAGTATCTTAAGTTTATTGTTAGTGTTGAATATACTTATGTCAATTTTTTTTTTTTCTCTCTCTAAATTTTGGATTGATTTCGTTTAATGTGGTCCAAATTTGTTGCCTGTTTAACTTTTAAAAGACTTCTTCTGATGAGTTTTTCTTATGCAGGGGTATTCACCATTGCGTTCTCCAGGTTACCAAAAGAGTGACATTCTCAAGAATCCAATTCTCAATATGGTTGCAGAGAAATTGAGCAAGTCTCCTGCACAAGTTGCACTTTGTTGGGCTTTGGAAATGGGTCACAGTGTTCTTCCTAAGGGCACAAATGAGACAAGGCTCAAAGAAAACTTTGATGTTTTTGATTGGTCTATACCTGAAGACTTGTTTGCCAAGTTCTCAGAAATTGAGCAGGCAAGAAGCCATTTTTCATCGCACACAACATTGAAGAGCTCTGTATAGGGTCAAGTTTCAGTTTTAATAACTTGAAGCTTTCCTAAACCACAACATTCAATTACGGCAACACGGAATCAACAAGATCTTTCTACCACGCTAATTCCAATCAGTACACAATGAGAAGACGCAAGTTTTGCGCAGAGCATAACAAAGGAAAATTCTCAAACACAACTCAAGTATTCCAAATCAAAATCCAAAAACCCTAAACTACCAATCACACAATACAATTTCGACTCGAAATCAAACCAATAAATAGTGAGCATATGAGAACAATACCTTAGCAGAATTGGATCCGATCACGGAATCGGAGTGCCTTCCATTATAATTATCCTGATTGCCGTAGTCCTCGTACGAGCAAACAAAGTCATCGGTGGTGGCGAAATCAAACCCTTTCGAAGCAGAGTTGTTACGACCCGATGATCTGGAAGCCATGCTCAAAGTTTGAAATGCAAGTTTTGATCGAAGCACAGAGAGTGAAAAGCTAGGGTTCGCAGAGACGACGATAGAGAAAAATAAGAAGGGTTCGTTTTGATCGATCTTAGCTAACATAATAAGAAGTCAGAATTATTTCATATACTAATAATTATTCATTTCATGCTAACATAACAAGAAGTCTGAATGAATGAAGTATACTATAATTATTCATTTCATACACTAATAACGCTAATAATTATACGAATCTGCTGAGAAGTTTTTTTTCATCTCCTAAGCATATGTATCTATCTAGTGCCTTTTAGGTTTTAGGTTTGGCCTAGTGGTTTTGTAGTCACATTTTAAGGTATGGTGGTAAAAGGAAGATCAAGGGTTCAGGTTAATGGAGCAGTGGTGATCTCTTTAGTTGTAATTTAAATTTATTAACAATTTAACATCCTACAATACCATCTTGACCCCAAAACAATAAAAAAAAAAAAAAAAAAAAAAAAAAAAAAAAGTGAATTTTGGGCAATCGATCATTTATAAGCTTAGATTAAAAAATAACGTTCAAATAATACACATTAATATGTGTTTGGAATAATTGATTACTCGTAAAAAAAAAAAAAAGTATTGATTGAGATAACTGAATTTTATTTTTTGTTTTATACAGTAGTTTCCTTCATTCCATTCCATATATTGCATATTATTTACATCAATAAATTGTCATTGCAATATAACAAATAAAAAAAAAAAATTGAGGTCATTCAACCATCAAACTCTCAAAAGGTAATGTAGTATATGTAAGTTATAAAATTTTGAATTGTTGATATTACTTTGTATCATAATCAAACTATTTTTGGTCATAACCAAATAAATATAACAAAATTTCACGTGAGTCATAACCAAAACAATATCAACAATAACCAAATTATAGCCAACATTATAATAGATTATAATCAAATATTTCTTCGATCATAAGCAAAATAATAATCTCATAAATAATATTGTAATAGATTATAATCAAGTCATAATCAATATCACAATAAATCATAATTAAATATTACAAAATATCATAATTTGAAAATATGATAGAATTTTTCAAACTTTTGTACCTTGAACCAAAAGAGAACGGTTGATTTCAAGAAAATATATGATTTGATTGAAATGACTTTAGATTAGCTTCAGAGTACTGGGTTGAGGTTGAGGTTGATTGCTTAAATGTACAAGATTCAATTAGTTCAATGTATAAGATAAAAAAATTGCATATAGTTGGAAGGACAAGCAAGAAGGTAATTCTTAAAAAGCAAGAGTATTTGTCCCTATTGAATTCATGCTAAATATATTTTCCAAAATCCTCTTTGGGAACAACAATACAATAATTTGATAAAAAGAATGATGATGAAAATTGTTCAAAAGTGACTTTTTAAAAAGGGTTGGATTCTTTCAAGTCCATACTTGAGAGAATAGTTGGGTTTAGTAGGTCTATTTTGAGAATAATTTTGGTAATTCGAACAATTCATTTTTAGGACTCGTCAAGTAAAATATTTGTATAAAAGATTAAGATAACTGGATATCAATAAATATATGTTTGAATTACATTTGTTTTAAAAAAATGGACAACATCTCGAGATGACTTAAAAAGGGGGCCACCAAACCTAATTTATCCTATTGAATTTAATGACCAACCTTGTTTTGGGAGTAAACATTATTGTCAAAAAATCAAAAAGTTAATAAGTTGTCGCATCATTCTCTGTACTTTTCTGCATATTTTTTGTAAAAAATTTAAAAATTAATAAAATAACTTGTTCCGTTAAGATAATTCAAACATGACATATGGAAGATGGGATAAAGTAAATAATTTAATGAGCTGATATACAACCTAGTATAAAAACAAATAAATTAATGAGAAATTGAGAAACCAATTAAACCATCTTAAATAATTACTGTGATAAAATGATCATGGTTCTCTCTATTTCATGTCTATTTCACTCCATTGAATGTTACCATCTCAAAAGGTAGCAAACGAATGCTCCCAATGAAAAATCACATAAATTATTTAATGAGTACATATAATATTGTTTTAGTTTCATTTTTTTTGTTTTTATAAAATATTAGTCTTATTAATATGTACCTGTTAAGAAAGTAATAAATGATATATAACTTTCTCCACTTGGATGAAAAATATATATATCAGACAGAAATTAATTATGATATTTTTAAATAGTTAACACACATCTTAACACGAGTAAAAAGTGATCAAGAGTTCAAGAGTTCTAAGTGGTTTGGTGTAGGAAATGTAGAGAGAAGGAAGAGGAAATGATTTTTAAAGAGAGAGAGATGTGTAAAAAAGTGATACACACGCAGCCCATAAAGAAAGAAAAACTGAATTTTTCGAACTCAGCTTTCCCTGCACGTGCGGCACCTATCCCTGCACGTGCAGAGCGTGCCTCCTGCACGTGCGGCACTCACCCTCGTACGTGCAGCGCCTCCCCCACACCTCCTTCCATACCTTCCTTTTCATGTGCCTTTTATGCAGAATGCAACCCAGAAAACTCCTCCCTCACTACACGTGCGGCGCCTCCCTCGCACCTCCTTCCGCACCCTCCTTTTCATGTGCCTTTTATGCAGAATGCAACCCAGAAAAACTGCTCCCTCACTGCACGTGCGGCCTCCCATCCTGCACGTGCGGCCTCCCATCCTGCACGTGCGGCCTTCTCCGACACCTCCTTCCGCACCTTCCTCTTCACGTGCCTTTTATGCAGAATGCAACCCAGAAAACTCCTCCCTCACCGCACGTGTGGCCCTGGCCCTCAAATCTAGAATTTTCTCTTCACAACTCCAGACATCTCGGACCCGACCTCGCACCCTCCGAAACAAGTGAAATTCAACACCAGAATAAACAAGAGCAAAAATTTTGAGAAAAACTCCCGAACGCAACAAACCCAAACAATTAACAAGGGAAAACAAAACGAGTAGCGCACTCAGTCATCACAACCTCCCCACCATAGGAAATTTTGTCCTTGAAATTAGATCAAACCACTGAAACAGGATAAAGATAACAAGTGATCAAAACCATGCCAGATTTGTTTCAAATCGCAATATCTATTTTCAATCAAAATTCTCCATTCTCATCCTAGTTTCCAAGTGTCTAGTTTCAAGGCTAACAACAACGGTTCATGATATCATATAAGCATGAAATAGTTCAATCAACAATAATAGCCACACATATCAATCTCATATTCAAAACAACAATACTTATAACAACACATGGTTAATAATCGTAATACATTTCCTTCAACACTAGGGAATATTACAAATTAAAACAACTTAAGCATTCATAAACAAATCTGGATACTTGGAGCGGACTTCTGTCTCCCGTTCCCACATTGCTTCTTCAACCCCATGGTGTCTCCACAACACCTTTACCAACGGTATAGTTTTGCCTCATAATACTTGCTCTCGGATATCTACTATTTGAACCGGTCGCTCTTCGTAAGAGGCATCCTCATCCACCTCCAAATCAACCCAATCTAGCACATGAAAAGGGTCGGGCTCATACTTCCTAAGCATAGACACATGAAACACATTGTGAACCCCCGAAAGTTGTGGCGGTAAGGCCAACTGATACGCCACTTTCCCAATTCTCTCCAATATCTCAAAAGACCCAATAAACCTCGGAGACAACTTACCACTTTTACCGAATCTCATCAAACCCCGCCTAGGTGAGATCTTAAGGAAAACATGGTCACCCACTTCGAAAGACAAAGGTCGTCTCCTTTTATCGGCATAACTTTTATGTCGACTTTGGACCGTAGCTAACCTCTTCCGAATGAGAACAACTTTCTCGGTTGTCTCCCTAACAATTTCTGGGTCCAACAATGGTGCATCCCCCACTTCGGCCCAACAAACCGGTGATCTACAAGGTCAGCCATACAAGCCCTCAAACAGTGCCATCTCGATGCTAGCTTGGTAACTATTGTTATAGGCAAATTCAATCAACGACAAATGTCTCTCTCAAGACCCCTTCAAATTGAGGACGCAAGCTCTAAGCATGTCCTCCAAAATTTGAATGGTACGCTCCGACTGCCCATCGGTTTGAGGGTGGTAAGCGGTGCTAAAGGTCAACTTAGTTCCCAATGCCTCTTGAAGGCTTTGCCACAACTGGGCAGTAAAACGATGATCTCTATCTGATACAATGGTTATAGGAACTCTGTGAAGTCGAACTATCTCTCTAATGTACAACTCTGCCAAGTGCCCAACTGAGTCGCCGGTGTGCATCAGAATAAAATGTGTAGACTTAGTCAACCTATCAACAATTATCCAAACGGCATCATTGCCCCGCTGTGTTCTAGGAAGCCCAACTACAAAATCCATGGTAACGTGCTCCCATTTCCACTCGGTTATTGGTAAGGGTTGTAACAAACCCGCTGGTCTTTGGTGTTTGGCCTTCACTTGTTGACAAGTAAGGCACTTCGACACAAAGGAAGCGACATCCCGCTTCATACCTCTCCACCAAAATTGACGGCTGAGATCACGATACATTTTGATACCTCCCGGATGTATCGCAAGGCGTGAGTGATGGAACTCTCGAAGCACTTCCTCTCTACAAGATTCTGGTACAAACAAACGATCTAGGAATCGTACACTCAGATCCGAGTGGATGTTCAAACCCTTCTCTTCCTTCCCGTTGGAGATTCTATCACGAATTGATTCTACTTCACGGTCTCCTTGTTGTGCCTCTATAACTTTACTAATTAAGGTAGGTTGAGCACTCAAGGTACACAATGACACCTCCTAGAAGTTCAGACCACACAAGGTAGACTGCTCGAGCGACAAAACTTGCGCTCGAGCGAAGATCAACAACTCTAAGAATCATAGACCTGTAAAAGTACTAGAAGACTCGAAAGGCCGCTTTATTGGCCAATCTATCGCTCGAGGGATGAAGAAAAACTTAGAGTGCTACAAAAATAGTCCACAAAGTATATGTCCAACATGGGTATCTTCTTTTCGTGCCATGGTATCAAAAAATATTTTGTTTTTCATTTTATTTTATTTTGTATTTTTGTAATTTTTATTCTTTTGGTTCAATTATATTTCTCATGCGGAAATAAATTAAACTCAATTTTTTATTTTCCATTTTTTTTCTTGTTTTATAAATAAATCTCTAAATTAAATGATTTTATTTTTAGTGCTAGACAATGATGCCAAAAATTGGTAGGGTCGTTTGCACACCAAATATTTTATTTAAAACTAAGTAAAAACAACTACTCCACAGAATAGCGGTTGAGATCACGTGTCGATCCACAGG